CTTCTCTACCTCCATGAGCATTTCTGATTGGAACTCTGTCTGTTTCCTCTTCTGTCTGGTGAGCATGTGTCTCTAGAAAATCCTAGCAGGGAGTTTTACACAGGCACAAATGTGAAACTGGCTGGGATTGGTTAAGGCTCTGTACAGTGTGAGGCTGTCTGTGATTGGCTCACCTTTAACTAACTCTTAAAGGCATATTTTCCTTTTCTGCTTCTGCTAACACAATGAATATATAAATGTCATATAACAATCAAAGACATAAATTACAGCAATGATTTTGCTTTTGGCTTTAACATATGCACATATATACTATACTGAGGTTATTGGCAGGTTTGGTATACACATATATGTGAACCATATTAACAACCTAGGACTGGTCTTAGCTGGCCAGCTACAACATCAGATCTCAATGAGGAAAAATATGCTGGATCTCTATACTGAGACGGACTGGGTAATGTGTTAGGAATGCAAAGATGCCCCATTTGATGGAAATAAAAATGATCCACCTACAGATGAGTGAATTCAAAGACAGCCCAAAAAATCAAAAGCAGGCTAGTCAATTTTGCTGAAATTTCATTGCAACTCAAAATTGTACGCAGTAGTTTGTATGGCCCCCACATGCTTATATGCATGCCTAATGTCAGGGCATGCTAATTAGATGATGGATTTTGTCCTGTGGTATTTCCTTCCAGATCTAGACCAAGGCATCACTGAGCTCCTGGACAGTCTGAGGTGCAACCTGGTGGCATCAGATGGACCGAAACATTATATCCCAGAGATGTTCTATTGGATTTAAATAAGGTGAGCGTGGGGCCATTCAATGGTATCAATACTTTCCTCCTCCAGGAACTGCCTGCATACTCTCACCACACGAGGCCAGGCATTGTTGTGCACCAGGAGGAACCCAGGATCCACTGCACAAGTGTAGGGTCCGGCAATGGGTCCAAGGATTTCATCCTGATACCTAATGGCAGTCAGGGTGCCATTGTCTAGCCTGTAGAGGTCTGTGCGTCCCTCCATGGATATGCCTCCCCAGACCATCACTGACCCACCACCAAAACAGTCATGCTGAACGATGTTACAGGCAGCATAACTTTCTTCACGGCTTCTCCAGACCCTTTCATGTCTGTCACATGTGCTCAGGGTAAACCTGCTCATCTGTGAAAAGCACAGGGCGTCAGTGGCGGACCTGCCAATTGTGGTGTGCAATAGCAAATGCCAATCAAGATCTATGGTGTCGGGCAGTCAGCACAGGGCCCACTAGAGGACTTCGGGCCACTCTGTTTCGATTGCTTGGTCAGAGACATTCACACCAGTGTCCTGCTGGAGGTCATTTTGTAGGGCTCTGGCAGTGCTCATCCTGTTCCTCTTTGCACAAAGGAGCAGATACGAGTCCTGCTGATGGGTTAAGGACCTCCTACGGACCTGTCCAGCTCTCCTAGAATAACTGCCTCTCTTGAAATCTCCTCCATGCTGGAGACTGCTGGGAGACAGCATACCTTCTGGCAATGGCACATATTGATATGCCATCCTGGAGTTGGACTGAATGTGCAATACCTGTTGGGTCCAGGTATTGCCTCATGCTACCAGTAGTGACAATGACCCTAACCAAATGCAAAGCAAGTGAAAGTCAAAAGATGAGTAGGGAAAAAATGTCAGTGGCCTCCACCTGTAAAAACCACCTGTTTTGGTGGTCATCTCATTGTTGCCCATGTTAATTTCATTACCAAAGCAGCTGAAACAGATTAACAAACCCCTCTGCTACTTAACTGACCAAATCAATATTCTAGGAGTTTGACGTGAAGCTATACTCTGATTATAAAGCTTTTAATCAGTGTATACATAGAGCGCTGCGTAAATTGAGGGCACAATATAAGTAGCAGAAAAAAAATCTCTCCCCTATTAAAATACCAGAATAAAGGCTGTTATCTACCTGCCTCAATTTCTAGAGCCAAGTGGTCTCTAATACACTTAAGCAGGGTGCTGCCAGGGTCATTACCCCTCATATTACCACCACCAGGAAGCAAGCTCGGGTCTATTCTGGATTAAAAAAAAAAAAAAAAAAAAAAAAAAAAAAAAGGGGGGGGGGGGGGGGAAGGGCAGAAACACTCAATCAGGGCCAGTAACAGTATTTCAGTGCAACATGTTACCAGATCAGAGGAAGTTACAAACTTGCTGGTTTTAGGCAAGTTACATGCAACTAGCACCTGTGAAAAGGAATTTACTACCTGGTTTTGACAGGTACCCGCGGTGTAGTGAGTCGGACGTTCAGACCCCTCCTTCCTCCTGCAGTCTCCTGGGAACTTTCACAGGTCCCAGAAGACTGACGGATCAGGAGGCACAATGCGCCTCACGCATGCGCAGTGGGCACCCAGCTGTGAAGCAAGCTGTCAAAGCCTGGTGCCCACAGTTGTGATTCCAGCACCGAGAAAAGCATAGAAGAGATGGCGTGGGTGAGCACATCATAGGTCCCTAGGACAGGTGAGTGTGTATTAAGTCAGCAGCTACAGTTTTTGTAGCCGACTTTATAAAAACTGACTGGAACTCCTCTTTAACCCCACAGTGCAAGGGTTAAATACTTTTTTTCTAGGCTACCTTAAAATGCAGTTTTACATAGATTCTCACTTCTGCAGGCTTCCTCTTCATGTAACCAAGACCCGTATGGCCTCTACTGTGATGCTGACACTAGAATGTAGAACCAGTCATCTAATTGCACCACTTGTTCGTTAAATGCAAAGCCGAACAAACGCAGTGATTCCAGGACATTATTTCACTTTACTCAAAGTAAAATTGGTAAAGAAAAAAATCCTCACCCACAAATTTTTAATAGCACATTAAGTGCTTTATTGGCCTTTACCACCTTTCCATGACGTTTTATATCTCCACCTCGATGGTCCCTTTTCCCAGGATTTCCTCACCTAACTTCTAGTTCCAGTCTGTAGCTAATGGTATTTCATGTAAGCATACAAGATGTCTGTAGATTGACTTACAAAATACACGTGTGACAAATTGCCTACAGCAATGTCTTACATGGAACATAAATCTGAACATTAAAAATACACAGATGAAAAATACCAAGTATTTTAAAATGTGAATTATGTGTATGCCTAAATCCAGTGTGCTTCGTGACACTCCTACTCCAGAGTGCTGGTCAAGAACTGAGGTATGTTGCAGATTGGGGAAAAGGTGGGGGGTGGTTGGATGCCAGCAGAGGACCATCCCTTGGATGTGTTTTTAGTCTTAGTTGCACCTACCATCCTGCTCCTGTGGTTGGTGACAACCATCTGTCATGAAGAATTGCAACATATTGCATTTTAAATTGTGACTTGAGGCTGTGTATGCCACAAATCCAATAAGCAGAAATATTCAACCTTTGAACAAATGCAGCTCCACTAAAAAAACAGTTCCCTACAAGCATTTAAAATATGTGCTAGAAATGCTGCCACCCACTATACCAAGTTAATTACAGCATTTTATTTATTCACAGGGAGCCAAGACTTCTCTAGATGGAACTTTTTAATTTTCAGCAAGGTTGTAATACTAAAATCCCTGTTCTGAGAAAACCAAGTAGCAACAAGATCCCTTTTGCACAGGGAGAATTCCCTAGACTGAATTCCTGAAAAACCTTTATATCTTAAATTTGTGCTATTCTATAATTGACAAAGTACAGCAGGATTAAACTGGTATTAAACCCAAAAGCATAAATTATATCAGTTTACCAATTCTCATGTGATGGTATTAATTTTTTATAGACCTATTTTCACCTGATTCAGCAAGTTGTTTTTCAACACAAGCTGTCCAGCAGATGTAGCAGAGGGTTACAAACCATTTTACACTGACGAGGGTGCTTATAATCAGCATGTAAAACCTTTAACCCAGAAGGAAAAAAAGTTACAAAACAGAAGACAAGAGTAGTTATCAATTTTAAATCCATTTACAGGGATAATTCAGTCTATAGCTACTAGATTACCCCTCTTACTGAAGCAATTAAAACTGAGCATCCTGTTATTACTGCTTACAGTGTTAGCTGAAGTTTGGCTTCAAATTGTTTGTGTATTTATATCTGCTAATATATAACACTCCCTAGACCAGCAATGGGCAAACTATGGCCCGCGGACCTTTTAATCCGGCCCGCAGAGCTAGGCTCCTCTCACAGTCCGCCCTGAAGACCGGTGTAGCATGAAAATCTTCTCCTATGAGGATCTGTTCCCCTCGACGTATCTGCGCATGTGCCGGAGATCGCCGATCGGCTGCTAAGGCCTGAAACTGGCACATGCGCAGATACGTCGAGGGGGACAGATCCTCATAGGAGACAGATTTTCATGCTACACCGGAACGGCGTGGGAACACGGCGAGAGGAACGCGCAGGAGCAAAGGTAAGTGAATTGACACAGGGGGGACTTGATATGGGGGATGAATATGGGGAATGAATTATTATAGGGGGGATGTATTACTATAGGGGGGATGTATTACTATGCTTACTATGGGGGAATATTACTATACTTACTATGGATGACACATACACATCATTCATCTGCTCTTGGTCCGGCCCCCGGGTCCAATATATGAACCCATTGCAGCACTCAAGTCAAAAAGTTTGCCCACCCCTGCCCTAGACTGACAATACTATTCTTCAAAGGGGTCTCTTGCTTCTTCATCCAGAGTGTAAGCACTCTGGCCAGATCACCAGGTGAAAAGAGGGAAAAAAGCCTAAAGAAAATGGATGCAGCCACCACATCTCAATTGGGTAAAATGCAATGTATTCGATTTTTGGTTTAAATACCGCTTTAAAATGATCACCACACAAAGGAAGATCATTATTACAAAGATTTATTGACTTCATATGGCAGGTTTTACAAAGATTGAGTATTTACAGAAATATCTACAGACATGCCTAGAAGTACAGCCAGTTGGTTATCTTGGGCTACTGTCATTACAAGGCAGTTGCAAAGAGCGGACACGTTTGGGTGACAAAATATATAAAAAAAAACTATACATAATTAGGAAGCTTCTTCATCCTCGATCTTTGGAGCCAGATAGTATTTCACATGACCCATATCTGCAATTCTGTATTCCACCACTGCAAAAAGAAAAAAATTAAACCAATAAAGAGAACCTAAAAAATGACCTTCTAAAGACAACCTATGGATCACATGGTTTATACTGCCACCAAGTGACTGAATTTAGATAAGGTAATGCTAAAATTAACAGTGCAATAGAAATAGTGACCTTAACTTCTGGTACAGCTAGTTAAGCACCAAGTATAAGATTTGCCATCACACTCACCCAGGGGGATATCTGCTGACATGCTGAGTGTCACTGATGCAGACAGGGGTGTTGCTTTGGTGAAGAAATTCAGGTATCGCAAAGCAAACGTTAGCTGGACTGGCTCATTCATTTCTATTGTGACCTGTTGAAAGTGAACACATTTGTCATGACCTGGTTAAAGGACAGAATGAAGATTTCATACAATGTGCTTTACACATTCTGCTGTGCAAGAAAATTACAGGCATTATACTTTCAGCTTTATTCAATGCAGTGAGAATGCTGTACTGCTCTGAGCTGCCCGCATCTGTAGTAAGACGTTTGTCCTCAACCCCCACAGTTAGTCACAGGCTACTGATTGTAGCTCCTCACTGCACTAGTCACAAAAAAAAAAAAAAAAAAAACGACTTTACAAAGATCATTTTTAAACAAACAAGTCCATGTTCATTACATACCCTGCAGGTAACAAGTTTCCATTTACACAATTGCTGACACGCTAGCTAGTAAAAGCAGAATTTAACTGTTTTAGGAGCTCATTAAATAAAGCATCATCCTGACATTTTAGGTGCTATCTTGCATTTTTGGAGCTACCCATTCTGGGGAGGTTGTAAACCCCTATATATACCCTAAGTAGTGACGGTCCTTTGGTGACAGATTAAACAAATCTTCCTTAAGTTGTACCTGTTTATCTGCAGCACTCTTTCCTACAGCTGTTTAAATTTCAGAATTTATATGGCTTGTCTGTGCTTTAAGAAAACAGGGGGCAGAGAGCTGAAGACATCCTTCAGAGCTCTCGAAAAAAAAAAAAAAACCCATCCAGGAAGAATCGAGGTAGTCATTCTCAGGCTGTATGCTGGAGTTCCCTACAATCACCTTTTTGATGTCAGGAAAACTTGTCAGAAGTGACTTGTGCTAAGAGCAGAAGAATAAGGGAGCAGACACTGCAGTGCTCTGAATTGAGACAAGTACACACTATACAGGGATATGCTTTGTACATATTTCACATCAGAGGTTTGCAAACACTTTAAAGTAGGCTTGTGAAAACAGATTGGAAACTGTTATTGTTTGCTAAGCAAACGCGTTCTAACAGCACTGTAACAGCGCTGTAATCTATATCCTCCCTTCACAATCTGCGTTCTCACTGACCTGGACAAGGGTCTGCACTAAAAAAAAAAAAGTGAAATAGTGGTCTGTCAGATTTTTAGTTAAAAAGCTCATGGAGCAGAGTTGGATCTACATGTTTGTTCCTGGTTAGCAAGTTAAAAGTTACTTAAAAACCAAGTCCACCTTTTTTTCTTCTATAATAAAGCATGAACCAAATTAAAAATATATATTTTTCTTTTGCATAACCCAATACATAGCCACGCCCACTGTTTTTAAGTGTCTTAGTGCACTTTTAGTTCAAAGTATATTACTGTACAACTGTAGATGCTTTTCAGTGAAAGGGGATTGTGAATACACTAATGAAAATGCGCAAGATTATAACCCTATTTGTCCTTAATCTACGTAATTAAAAATAATAAAAAAAAAACACAGGCCCCATTCACTCACGTTGTACACTGGGCATTCAAGAGAGGGCTGCCAACGCACCAAAATGCATGCCAAGGTACACTGCCTTCGGGCAATGGGGTACTAAAAGGAATGGCACTGCAATGCGTGAATGGTGTTTTGCAGTGATGCAGCAGATATAAATGGGCCCTTCCAAGTTTTTCCTCCAGCAGCTAACTGCCTGGCTCAGCAGTTCCTCCTAGAAACCATAAATACAGACATACTTTTCCATGGGGCTAATATAGTTCACTCTGAAAATTAACACCAAACCTAAAAGCAGCAAAGAAACCCTTTACTAAAATGTATGTCCTGTTATTTCATATAGGAGGAGATCAAAAGACATCTACCCCTTCAGACGATAACATATGTTGCTCTATCCCATTAGCATAGCCACTTATTCTAGGGAATGAAAAAGTGGTACTAATATGGGACATGAAGTCCACGTGATCCATTTCATGTTACACATGAAACATGGTCACAACCTGCCCCCGACATCTCCCTGCTGTGCTGTCTTTGAACTTGGCGCAGCTGTGCATTGCTCCACCTGTACAGCCAACATCATTCATGTGATGAATAAAAATACCAAGAACCTTCCGGCACTGTGGCAGAACTCCGTTCTCAATGGGGCACAAGTGCAGTTACATTACCAAACTTGCAGTGCAAGGATACTTTTTCCAGCCCTGTAACAGTAGGTCTATACTTTGGTACAGAGAATTAGTCTGCAGGACGCCAAGCATTGCACCCATGACAGATGCAATGCTTTGCAGACTTAAATGCACATTGCTCAGTGTGAATGTTTTTTTCTTACAAATGTGAAATTAGCTTTTCAGCCATTGTATCAACATTCTTATAGGCAAGGAAGTACCATGTTTCCTCAGAACAAGTTGCCTATAAATAGTATGGTACAGGTAGATTGTCAGGGGTTTACCCAAGACTTAGTCTTAAATGGGGTTAAGTGTTAATTATTGGGGAAATGCCAAGTTCACATTTTTGGTTAAATGTTAATTTTTTAAAAGGGGTTAAGTGGTAAGGCAACCTATAGGATTTAGGGACATGCAGGTTTGCAGGCGGTATGGTTAACCGAATGGATAATCAGATGCATCTGAAAAAGGTCAGTGCCAAAACTTCAGGTGCTATAGCTGGGAAGGGTAACCTGTCCAATTGAGTTACAGAAGTACACCAAGTTTTAGCACAAACACCAAGTATAAATCATATATCAAACACTCAGGAGACATCAAAATTGACTGCTTTCGAAATGCATTGCAAATGTTGGTTAAAAAAACTGTCAGTCCAGTTTTAGTGTGATAAAATTGGTAGCTTCATTAAGGCATGGTACAGTCCAGCAGAAATTTAGATTTTGGTATCCTAAAATAAGGAGTTTACTAGTTTTAATCTTTGAATCCCACCAATAAATTCTTAGTGTTTGATAAAATAGAACAGGTTGGACCCTTGTGTTTTTTCCCTGCACACAAATAGTAAGGTAAGGATCCACACGACCAAGGATGCTCTTCAGTGTATTCGGAGACCACAGAATAAAAGTCGCAAATACAGAAAAGTTAACTTTTCTCTATTTGCAAATATACTGTGGTCTCCAAACACCAGCATCTAAACAGCATCCATGGTAGTGCAGATCCCTCCTTACCTCACTATTGTATGCAGTTTGAGCACCTCGGAATCGGGCACCTTTGCCTCTTCAAGTTATATAGGTAGCAGCACGGTTGTGTGCATTTGTTTTTTTCCCCCCTCACAACCCATCCTGGGGAGATTTCCTGGTAATGTCAGACTGGAAGTGATGCAAAAGCTATTACGGATTTATCCACACAATACTATAAAACTTGTCAGAAATAGAATTTGATAAATCATGTCACTTACAGCTTCCTCCTCTTTATCAACATTTGAAGTCTGTGATAACTTGACATTTCCTGTACCCAGCTCCCCACTTGCAGAGAATTTCACTCCATCCTTTGCACAAGAGATCACAACGGCATCACCAATCTGGCTAAGATCTCGGCAGATACGTGCAAACTCTCCAGACGGCATCTTTATGACACAGCTGTACTCTTGTTCCTGTAGAACAAAAAGCTGCATTAAAGCAGATATTCACCCCAAGACTGTGCCACCTGCATGCAGCCCTGTTCCTCCCCCACAGTTGGAATTGTGTTTCACCGCTTTATTTTTTGTGCTGAGGCACTATTCTATTTCTCACCTAGGTAAGAACAATATTGCACAAGGATGATGTAAACAAAATTTGGGGCCTTTTTTTTCTCTGCACAAGCACACCACAGGGTTGTGTCAGCCCCCCCCCCCCCCCAAAAAAAAAACCTTTAGCGCATCTACACACCGGGCAATCAAAAATGGTGGCACAAGTGGAGGGGGAGCCATGATTGAAGGGACACTGATGCTTCCCTAACATCTGCAACATGAAGTAAAAGTCCATATGTGAAAGCCAACAATCTAAAGCCAGACATTCACTTACCGGAATTCCTAACTGCTCAACATCCAAATCCATCAGCTTCATCTCGTAGTCAGAAACCTTCTCTTGATCTACAATACAGTATGTCAGCGTGTTACTAATCCTCTGATAGAGTGCAGATAAATGGCATATTTTACACATGTAACCAAAAAATAAACCACTCAAGTTTTTGAAAGTCTTGCTAACTCCATTTACTCTTTGTAACGCTACATGGATTAAAAATCAAAAAAGGAACCTACAAGACTAGAAAGGGTAGCTCATTACCAAATAATTTTACATATGCTTTCTCTGGGTCTGTCACACAAACATCACCACCCAGTAAGCAACTGACCTAAAACACATATGCAGGGACATTCACACTGCATTAACCACATGCTTGCTCAGGTCATTGAGTACCAGAACTAGTGGATTAACCACCATTCTTCTCAGATGCAGTTAAAACAACCTGCTTTAAAGTTTTTTTATGCAACAGTGCTGAAATGCAGGATCTTGTGATGCCTCCAAATGTTATTCTTCACACGTTCCTCCCAGACAAGTATCATTTGATAGATTTTCATTTATTTCTTGTCCCAATACCATGGGGGCAGAAGTGGTTTCTCCAGTAGGGACAAAAATAAGGCCCTAGCTTCCCCAATTAGAGGGGTTAGCACCAACCCATCCACAATCCTAGCATGGAAAAAGCTGGAGCACCACCACGGCTAAAAATGGTAATACTCAAAGCTGCCGATCATAGGGTTGTCTTTCCTTCTGTAATCTGTATTTATGGATACTGGTATAGTTCTGTGATTGCTAACTACGATGCTTTTACCATGCTGTGTCCACCACCAATCCAACCCATAGCTGACCTGAAATCTGGTATAACATGATGAGCGTTAAGCAGTAGCAAGACTGTGGAAGCCTCTTGCACACTGGGCGCTCAGTCGTGCTGCATGAGATTCTGGCACTTAATGCCAGTGCAAGGGCACTATCCAGCCTTGCTACCAGCAGCCTGTAAAAGTCTGAGAGACAAAAGCTGTTGGGGCTGTGCAGTGCACAGAGAAGTACTATTGTTAGGGCTGTGTGCACCCAGGGGTGAATGTCTGCAATGCAAGAAGTCTGTTCTAGGCAGTCACCAAGCTCAATTTTTTCTCTAACATTAGTATAACTAGGTGCACCATCCAGCTGCGACAGCTGAGCCTTCAGACCAAAAAAGCCAGGATCTCATACACAGTTGCTTAAAGTGGTAGTAAACTCGCTTTCATTTGTAACTAAAAAGGTAAGATTATAATAAAGCTAACCTGTAGGTACAAGGAATATTTCTTAAACATGCACCATTTAGGAGATATTCGCCAACTCTGCACCTGGTGACGTCACTGGCACATGCACTCTGAAAGGACGGCATACTGAGTATGTTCCTTTAGAGCACTGTGCTGCAATCATGGCTCCCATACACATGCTTGTTTGTGATGTCATTGTGGCTTGGGCAAACGGATGCAGCCCCCGATAACAGAAAGAAAACCGGGTGAAGATGGAAGCCCTGTCAGCACACCATTGCAAGGCTTTGATTCGAAGTCTCTCATAACATGCTTGTATGCGATTCAGGTTTTTTTCTTTTCTTCAAATCACCTTTTACTACTGCTTTAACACCCAGTGCACAGGGCTTTAAAGTGATAGTGAATTCTGATATAAAATTTGTAACTACAGGCAAGAGTATTACCTGTAGATCCAGTCCTGTTTAGATTGTCACATCGTCTTTAGCTGATGTCACTGCACAGTGCAGTGACGCTTTGCTTTCAGGCCACACCAAGTATGCCTCTAAAGTAGAATGCTGTGCTGCGATGTCTCCCATGCTCATGTGCAGGAGTGATGTCATCACAACTCCAGAACATGAACCTGCAAGAAACCAGGCAAAGATGGAATTGCCAGCAGCGACAGCTCAACCCTGGAGGGTTCCATTTAAAAAACAAGTCTGCCATAATGCGCTAGCATGCAGTGCACACTATGGCATAAACCTACAAGAGCCAATAAAAAAAAAAAAAAAAAAAAAAAAAAACACTAATGCTGTAAAGCAGAACTAAAACCTCCTATCCTTTTCAGCCAAGGAAGCTGCCATCTTATGGTCCCCATACACTAGAAGAAAAATTGTTTGAAAATATGTAATTTGGTCCGTTCATTTTTTCATGCAGTTAATGCACACAGAAAATGGTTTTTGACTTTGCAGAGCATAAAAAACCCCCCAAAGGAACGGGTGGTAAAACTTTAGCCTAAACTGTAAGGTTAAAGCAGAGGCCGTCAAAATAAAAAAAGTCAGCAGCTACAAAAACCAAACACCTGTTCAATTCAAATCCAATCCACCGGCAATCACGTGTCCTCAGCATCTTCATTGTGGGCACCCAGCTGTGACAGCTTGCGGCTTTAAAGGCAGCTGCCCTCTTTGCATGAGCAAGCAGCACTGCAATCTGATTCTGTAGTCTGGGACTTGTCATGTCCCAAAAGATTACAGGGAGGGAAGAGGGGAGGACAACTTCCGCTTGCCACGGAATTGGAAGCGAGTACCTGTGAAATTCCTTACCCCCCCCACCTGCTCCCTAAAAGGTGCCAATCCTTAACGGGAGGTAGGGGATGATACCCTAAAGTGCCTCCTGGTCCTTTAAAGGTTTCAAGGTCATGTGACCACCGTTGATTCGCCATCACAATTGGGAAAGGTAAATTCCGTAAATACCTGACGTGTGCTGGGAATGCGCACTCAGCACGTTTTTGTTAATTGCATGCAAATGTGCGGCTGCTTGGCGTCAAGACCCAGATGCCGGGAGACCGCAAATTTGCGTGTGGCCGGTGTGAAGAGGTCAATGTATTTCTCGTACATTAAAAACAATAGCAATAGAACTGTTGGGACTGAGCATATGTGACATTATGAACAAAAAAAATGTGCATTGCATGGGTTATCGTTTGAACTTCAGTACATAATGGTATTGTCTGCTCACTATTTTAAAAAATTTGAATGATTCTGTTACTGTATGGTCAGCATTAGCCTCCAATCTGCAACTGCCATGATTTATTACAGGTACTTGAATAGCGGAGTGCTTTACACATATATTGTACATTCACATCAGTCCCTAACCCTCAAGGGGTGTACAATCTAAGGTCCCTAACTTACATTCATACATACACATACTAGGGATAATTTAGACAGGATCCAATAACCAGCATATCTTTGGAGTGTGGGAAGAAACCCATACAGGCACAGCGAGAACATGTAAACTCCAGGCAGGTGGTGCCGTGGTTGGGATTCAAACCAACGACCCTAGTGCTGCCAGCCGGAAGTGCTAACCATTTAGCCTCTGTGATCAGTTAAGACACCTGTGATTTGACAGCTTGGTTGATAAGCAAATGTGACTTAGCATTCCTGACATACCAGGAATGTAACTTTTAAAAACTGATTCTGCTCAAACATTGATTGGTATAAAGCCGTTACATTCCTGGCATACTGGGAGTGTAACTGTCACATTTGCTTGTATTCTCAACCAAACCAAATGGTTGAATCATCACTGATGACATGTGCAGCACCATGGCAGTTACAGATCAAACAGAGGCTAAAGATGTCAGTTTCCTCAGCTGTAAGGGATAAAGGGGCTAGGTCTGCTTTAAGATGACTGAACATAAGTGAGGATTTGTATCAGTATATTATTTGAAAAGCTCTAATAGTTACGCTTTCCAGCATGTAACAGAAGAGTTCATTAGACGTCATAGTGGGATCATACAGCAGCACAAATCAGGCCACTTACTGGGTGACTCGAACACCATGGTGACTGTGTCTGCATTGTCCTCAGCTCTCAGTGTGATGATATCGTCACTTGCAGCACACTTCAGGATTTTGGACATACTGGAAGAGGAAATAAGAAGTCATTGTACACATTGCATTCCCTCCATTACACCGAGCGTCCAATCACATGTATACAGAACACGGAAGCACCGGCTGCTTTCCCGCGCGGAAGGCGGCTCTTTGTTGGCTAGGAAGCCGTGACATCACCAGCGCGCGCTGGCAAGTCAAAAAAAAAGGACCGCGCGGGAGACAAGACGAGGCATGTCCTCCGGGGATGACCCGCCCACATCATGTGATTAGGCCTGTCAGCCTATGACAGGCCAGATCAGATAGGTTCGTGCGGCCCCATTGCTGTGTAAAGGCGCCAACTGCGAGAACCCGTAAAGTGCTTATGTCGTACAGACCCATCTCCAATCTAATCCGTATAAACAACCCCAATTTCTCCAGCCCCAGCACACGGTCCCTATGTAGGTATCAGCCGTTCTAGTCAGCGGAAGCCGCCATGCTAATCTCCCCAGTCTCACCTGCTCATTTTGACCCCGATGGACTGGTTGCGGTCACAGCGGTATGTATCGAAGCCATCGGAGCGGAGGGTGAGCTGCACCAGAGAGACGTGGGACGAGTCCATGCTCTGCAGGCTGATGCCGCTGGATGTGATGTCCCAACACGCCTCATCGATCAGATCCTTCAGCGCCTCTAGCACCTTCTTCAGGATGGAACCCTGCACCAGTCTGGCCTCGAACATGGTGGCGGAGAAGATCCGGTGTGTGTGGCGTGAACAATGAGCTTTTCCCGCCTGCTGCTCTGATCCCGGGACACCGACTCGCCCTCCTACCTTCTCTCACTCCGGCGCCAAATAAGCCCGGCAGCGCCGCCTACTCCGTCTTTTACTGCGCCGGTCATGTGACCCGAAACGTCACGGGAGAATGGCGCCAAATTCATTTCCCGCCTCACTGTGCAGCTGTTCCCCCGTGAGGAGAACAATGTCAGTGCTGAGAAGGTGATAGACACCTAAAACACAGCACCACTCTACTCTGCTCCACAATAAATAATAATACACATATGTATAAATAAATCCACACATGACTGGGATGTACAAACACAAGCTGAGTGCTGTGTGTTCTAGTGTCACTCTCCCACACAGCACAGGAGGGAACTTCTACATACACATACATGAACTCCTGAGAGCTGTAGTGTAAAACTGTCAAATGTGCGCTGGAAGCCCACTCAAAGTAAATGTGCTGTCTTAGGCTACGTTCACACTAGCGTTGTGTGCGGGCGGTAGAAAGGCGTTTGGGAAGCGTTTTTACCGCTTCCCAAACGCCTCAGACAATTCTGCACATTGCAGCACATAGTTTGTTCTAACGGGAGCGTTAGCGTTGTGGCAAAACGGACGCCTCTAGTCGAGTCAGGAGGCGTTGAAGCCTCCAATTCTAGTCTATGGTGCCACTTTGCGGGGCGTTTGCAGAGCAGTAACACCATTCAAACTTCATTATAGGCGTTTGTGGGGCGTTTTTAACGCTCGGCAAACGCCTAGCAACCGTGGCTGAACCGAGCATGTGGTGTTTGCCGAACATTAAAAAACGCTCCGCAAACGCCGGACCAACGATTGCCAAACGCTATAGGGGCGTTGGTAAAACAGTCAAGTGTGAACGAGCCCTTAGAGCAGTGGTTCTCAACCTGTGGGTCGCGACCCCTTTAGGGGTCAAACGACCCTTTCACAGGGGTCCCCTAAGACCATCAGAAAACACATTTCCGATGTGTAAAGAGCAGCTACTGTGTAGAAAGCAGCTGCTGTGTTGAAAGCAGCTACTCTGTTAAAAGCAGCTACTGTGTTGAAAGCAGCAATATTGGAGGTAAAACGACACTCATGAATTATAATTACCGGGTAAATAATTTTATGGTTGGGGGTCACCACAACATGAGGAACTGTATTAAAGGGTCGCGGCATTAGCAAGGTTGAGAACCACTGCCTTAGAGTGATACAAAAGGGTATTTATTGTTTTAACATAAAAAAATGTTATACAGGGTTAGAAAATAAAATGGAAACACTACATGATTTGTAGGTGCGAAAGTGACAACGTGTTTCATGTTAAAAGTGGAAGTGATGTAACATTCTTTTGCTTCCGCTGTGTGATGAGACACCTAGCTAACAGGTGGGAAGTCTCACTTCCGTGATAGTTACATAGTTAGACTGGCTGAAAAACAAAGACAAAAGTCCATCCAGTTCAACCATAAAAACCAAAACACAAGTTATAATCCTACACCCACAGTTGGTCTAGATCAGTGTTTCTCAACCTTTTTTTCAGTCAAGGCACCCTTTAAAATTATGAACAGTCCCGAGGCACCCTTAAAAATACTGGACAGTCTTGAGGCACCCCATTCTAAAATGTGAAAAACGATTCTAATGGTTTTATATAACGCAGCAACATCTATATATGTAGGAAGGGGCATTCCTAGGGGTTGGTGTCACCCGGTGTGATGACACTTGTTGACACCCCCTCCGACGATCCCCGCAGAATGAATCAGATCTGCGGATTGAGCATAATGGATCGGACTCCGATCCATTATGCTCCCCAATCCGCAGATCCAATCCATCCTGCGGGGATTGTCGGCTTTCTTTACAAGTTACCTTTTCGTGGAGCGGGTCCGGTGTCACCCCATATAGGTTGCATGCCGACAATCCCCACAGGATGGTTTGGATCTGCGGACTGAGCATAATGGATTGGACTCTGATCCATTATGCTCCCCAATCCGCAGATCTGATCCATCCTGCGGGGATCGTCGGCTTTCTTTACAACTTACCTTTTCGTGGAGTGGGTCCGGTGTCACCCTGTATAGGTTGCATGCCGATGATCCCCGCAGGATGGATCGAATCTGCGGATTGAGCATAATGGATCGGAGTCTGATCCATTATGCTCCCCAATCCGCAGATCTGATCCATCCTGTGGGGATCGACGGCTTTCTTTACAAGTTACCTTTTCGTGGAGCGGGTCCGGTGTCACCCCATATAGGTTGCATGCCGACAATCCCCGCTGGATGGTTCGGATCTGCAGACTGAGCATAATGGATTGGACTCCGGTCCATTATGATCCCCAATCCGCAGATCTGATCCATCCTGCGGGGATCCTCGGCTTTCTTTACAACGTATCTTTTTGTGGAGCGGGTCCGGTGTCACCCCGTATAGGTTGCATGCCGATGATCCCCGCAGGATGGATCGGATCTGCGGATTGAGCATAATGGATCGGAGTCCGATTCATTATGCTCCCAATCCGCAGATTTGATCGGGATCGTCGGCATGCAACCTATACGGGGTGACACCGGACCCGCTCCACGAAAAGGTAAGTTGTAAAGAAAGCCAATGATCCCCACAGGATGGATCCAATCCATCCTGCGGGGATCATTGGCTTTCTTTACAACTTACCTCTTCATGGAGCGGGTCCGGTGTCACCCCGTAAAGTAGGTGGCACCCGGTGCGGCATGCACCCACCGCACCTGCCTCGGGATTCCACTGTACAGTATGTAGGACACCCAATACTGAAGGTGATTTATTCTTCCAAAGCAAATACACTTTTGCACACTGACTAGTATTCAGTACTGACTAGTATTCCAGTGTTTCTCTTTTCCCTCAGTTCCTCTCTTATCACTCTGCTAATGTGACCCCAGCATTGAAGGAGAGGGGCAGGGGAGGGTCAAACTAGGATGCTGTGCAGGCAGCTGACATCCTCCTTATTAACTGATGATGTCATTGGTTGTCAGGATGTCGGCGGCTAGAAGGTCATAATGATGCACAATGAAAACCTGTGGCTTTGTGTAACTAAAAGTCAGGCTTGATCCACCCGCTGGCTTTTATACAAGTTTTGGGCAATTTTTAGACTTTTTGCTAAGGCACCCCTGAAGAAACCTCAAGGCACCCTAATTGAGAAAGGCTGGTCTAGAGGAAAGCAAAAAAAACAGCAAAGAATGGTCCAGTTTGCTCCTGCAGGGGGAAAAAATTCCTTCCTGACCCCCGAGAGGCAATCGGATATTCCCTGGATCAACTTTACCTATACATGTTAGTATCCAGTTATATTCTGTGTATCCAAGAAAGAATCCAGGATTTTTTTAACCACTTCAAGTCCAGACACTTTCACCCCCTACCTGTCCAGGCCAATTTTCAGCTTTCAGTGCTATCACACTTTGAATGACAATTGCGCGGTCATGCAACACTGTACCCATATGAAGTTTTTAGCATTTTTTTAAGACAGATAAAACTTTCTTTTAGTGGCATTTATTCACCACTGGGATTTTTATGTTTTTTGCTATATAAATTGAAAAAGACCAAACATTTTGAAAAAAAAAAGTGTTTTTTCTTATACAGTGTTGCAAATAAATAATCTTTCTTCATAAATCTTAGCCAAAATGTATTCAGCTATCTTTTTGGTAAAAAAAAAAACAAATTAGTTTATTAAAAAAAATTATACTTTTTCAAAAACATTTTTCACATTTTAATTTTATTTTTTTAATATTATCATTTATGGTTTTTTTACATACTGTCACTCTAGCAGTACAGTGTCACCATAGGGGATTTATTTTTATACTGATTGCTTTTATACCCATAAAGGCTGTAAAAGCAATCATTTCTCCTTCTCTCCAGCTATTGAGAAATGATTGGTCACAGCTTGTCACATGGTACAAGGCTGTTGCGAATAGCCTTGTGCCATGTGACCTCGGTGATCATTCACAGATTTCACACGTAGTAAACAATGATATCAGGAAGTGACATCTTGTTTACCACTGTTCATGTGATCACTGATTGGCCAATCAGTGATCACATGCATCGGGACCACACACAGAGGTCCCGTACAGCGATCTGTGTTACAACAGTAACATACGACTGCTTGGAGCTTGAAGAAGGGGACATACCCCAAAAGCTTGTCCTAAAAAATTGTGTATGTGCTTTTCATTCAGTGAAGTCCATTGATTCCAAATAATATATATTAAAGCAGAACAATACTCACCTAAACTCCAGTGGTGCAGCATCCCTGAGAAATACCCAGGGCGGCTCGGGTGCACAAAATCAGAAATACTGCTACAGGGCGGCACGGTGCGCAAAATCGGAAATACTGCAGGGCGGCACGGTGCGCAAAATCAGAAATACTGCTACAGGGCGGCACGGTGCGCAAAATCAGAAATACTGCTACAGGGCGGCACGGTGCGCAAAATCAGAAATACTGCTACAGGGCGGCACGGGTGCGCAAAATCAGAAATACTGCTACAGGGCGGCACGGGTGCAAAAATCAGAAATACTGCTACAGGGCGGCACGTGCGCAAAATCAGAAATACTGCTACAGGGCGGCACGGCACAAATCAGAAATACTGCTAGGGCAGGGCGGCACGGGTGTGCAAAATCAGAAATACTGCTACAGGGCGGCACGGGCGCAAAATCAGAAATACTGCACGGGCGGCACGGCTGCGCAAAATCAGAAATACTGCTACAGGGCGGCACGGGTGCGCAAAATCAGAAATACTGCTACAGGGCGGCACGGGTGCGCAAAATCAGAAATACTGCTACAGGGCGGCACGGCTGCACAAAATCAGAAACACTGCTACAAGGCGGCACGGGTGCACAAAATCAGAAATACTGCTACAGGGCACAGGTGCACAAAATCAGGCTACAGGGCTGCACAAAAAATCACAGAAATACTGATACAGGGCAGTTCCGGGTAGGGGGTGCGTGCACATACCCTACCCGCGCTGCCATTC